TTTTTTTATTCCAAAATGATGATTATCGTACGGTTCGTGTCCTTTGGCGTTTTTTTTCTTCTCTCTCTCTCTCTCTCTCTCTCTTTTTTTTTACCATCTTCGTGACATCGACGCGAGGAAAGAAGAAGAAGAACGCGCGACGGCTGCTCGCTCGACCGTGCCAGGGGAGAGCATTTAAATTTAAAAGGACCCAAGTTCGAAGTTTTAAGCAGAGCGAAAGAAGTTCGTTGTCCCTTCTACGGGTCTGCGTATTCGGGAGCGTATTTGCATGAGAAAAGTGTTCTACAATTCCTTCGATTACACACTCGCCACCACCATGGTGGTTCCAAAGATAGCTCACATTCTAGGAAACTCTTTTCATCCGTGTATCTTCGTAACGATGAACTTTTCAGATAGATGTGACACCTTACACGTGTTCCATTTACCAGGGGCCAGCCTCGAGCCTCGACTCTTTACGGGATTATTGTTCACGCTCCATACGTTTCATCCCTTTTTCTATTCGATTCTTCCTTTGACGCACCTCCCCACCTCTTTCTACGTTCACCCGATCTCCTCGAGACGACGCTTCTTCCTAAGTAAAATACAATGTAAATTCTCCCAGAAATTTCATGATTTCGTGAAACGTGTGTCGCGCCCAATACATTTTAAATCGTTATTACGTGTTAATTTCCTAGAGACGCGATCAATCGTTTTTATTTTATACGCTTATTTTATACGCATATATATATATATATATGCGTTCGTGAAAACAAATATTTCGCCCGTGTTTCCGCGTAATCCTTTGCCCTCTTCTCGAAGGATAACGAGCCACGCGGTTCCCAATGGAGGTTGATATTGGCGGTTGATTATCAATTTTCTACCAATTTGGTTCCACTTGTAGCGGCGCCAGCTTTTGTCCCGCTAATCACCCCTTGGCTACCGCTTTCACCCCCCGCCGGGTACATCCGATCCGCTTTGCATATTACGCCACGATATATCTCTCTCTCTGCTATTCCGCACCGCTCCACGAGTATCTCGCCCCACGTCGCCTTTCTTTTCACCCCTCGAGAGAAAAAAAAAAAACGTTCGCTCACCCACCAGCTGGAAAGCGCAATTGAAAAAGATAACCTCGTCACGTTGACTTAACTCGCGCGAGTTAATCGTGCGAAAAGTTGCGATCCTCGAAATTTTCGAGGATCGAAAATCGATCGAAACCTCGATCATCTTCGAATCGCCGATTTTCATTTCGATCGTCAACGGATGGAGCTCGATCGAGTTGGTAAGCTTCTTCGTGCCTGCTCGAGTCGAAGGTTCTAGTTTTTCGCGAATTAACGTCCCAAAAGAGGGACGCGTTCGCAAAACAACGCGGAGGGATCAAACGGTGGACGCTTATGGGATCAGCGATCTGAAAACGTTGTGTTGTTTCAGGTGAGCCAGCTCTCACGCGCCACACCCTGTTTTCCACACTCGCTGGATCCCTCTCTCTCTTCCCCTCCCCCCGGACCACGATCCCTCACCGCGGCCGATCAGAATTTTGAAATCGCTCGGTCTAGCGGCTAACAAAATTTTTATTCCTCCGAAAAATACGAGTGACGCGTACCTGGTACGCGCCATTCCGAGAGTCGACAAACATTTTCCGGGCTCGATTCAAATTTCACGCGAAACCATGTGTGTTCCCCCCTTCCTCTCTCTCTCTCTCTCTCTCTCTCTCTCTCTCTCTCTCTCTTTTTCCCTCCCCTCTGTATCGACCGACTTATTTTATATAGGGTTCGACGACGACGTACTTTTCAAAGTAGCAAGAGGAGGAAGTTAATCGCGTGACCGTTTAACACCGGTCAAATTAAACCTCCATTAAACAGCCGGAGAGGCTTGCTGTTTATTTTTTTGACGTTCATTAAAATTTATTCGCCATTACGCGCGAGCCGAGGGGTTGGCTATGAAATAAAACGGTAGCATTCCGAGTGTCGTCGAGCCTGCTCAAAATTCCAGGCGTCTGTCGCCAATAAACACTGTATCACTGTTTCTATCCGCTATTAAATACCGCTTTTCCCCGCGCTTTCTCGCCTTTAACCGAATCTCGCGGATCTCTCGCATCGCGATAAACGTATCCACCGTATATATATATATATATATATATATATATATATAAGCGATGTATATTTTCCAGCTACAATAATTTCGTAATGGAAAAAGAAGGTGGAAGAAAGAAATTTCCACTCTCTCTTCCCTCCAAGACAGAAAAAGATGGACACGTTTAAAAAATACACGTATATACACGTATTATAACGGCGGCGTTTACACAGGGAAGAAGGGAGCAACGTCAATATTCGGCGATGACGGTGGCAGAGGAGCGGAGCATGATCGTTTGTGACACCAATGACCAATCGACGCAGGAGGGAGGTGGGCGCGGTAATGGGAAAGCCATGCACGCCGGCCCGATTCGCCACTCGCATAAAATTAACCAGTTCGCTCGCTCGTTCGTTCGTTCGTTTTAATTAACGAAACACCGCGAGGGCATCGCGAACGGTATACGTCTATCTCTTGGACGCGGCATGGTGGCACGTTTTACACGAGGCCGTGTGAAAAACCGCACGATCTCGATCGCTTTGTTCCGAGCCGCGATAAATCGCGGGCAAATCGCGGAGGATTAACGGTACGTCTCGTCGTTCCTCCTCCTCCTCATCATCATCATCATCATCCTTCGTGGAGAGGGGGTGATTACAAGAATTTCTCGCGAATTTCTGTTCTGAAATCCGTGGCCCTCCCTCGGATGTGGCGAGGAACATCCTTCGAGAGTTCGTGCAGGGACTCGATCGAGGGTCCTCCTCCTTCCTCGAGGGCCGTATAAGGTTAAGGTGTAGAGCGGGTCGGTGGCACGATGATGTCTCTATCTACGACGAAATAGCGGGTCCGTTAGGTGTGCGAGGATGCAACACGTAGATGCACGTGGATGGACGTGCGTGTATGTGCAAGCACACAGGCGCCATCGAAGCATGCAACGAGCCCAGGGTCACCCGGGGTCAGCCAGTCACGGAGTTAATTAGACGCCGTGGCTCGCCAGCTCACGTGGCACCATGTTCAGATATCAATCTTCGGTTTCTCCGCTCCTGGATGGACCCTGGATGGCTTTCTTCTGAAAAGATTCTCATCCCTTCCTTCTTCCCCTTATATACCCCCGTTCGAAAAATGGGATACAGATAGAATCGTTGGTTAGAACGATTCCATCCTCGATACACGCGAAACTTTCCTCTCTTCCTTTTAATTAAATTCGAGGAGTGAAATTCAGACGCAGATGGTTTCGCGTTTCTTCTCGGGATGGAATTGTCACAGCGACGAGAAACTTATGCTCCCTTTTCGACGTTTTCCGCTCGAACGGAGGTTTTCGCCGATTTCTTCGTCGTCGAAGGAAACGACTTTTGGTCGTTTGGCGGTGCGCGTATAACTTTACCACCCTCCTACTTGCCACCGACCGACTTGATTATCCCGGCTAATTTGGCTTCCCCATTCGCTGGAGAGATAGGAAACCGGGAGAGGAAGCCCTTTCCCTTTCTTCCTCCGTCCGTCAGGAGACGTAAGACCACCACCACCACCTTTCGGTCTTACCTTTCCGCCGCTCTCTTAACAAGCGCGTCCCCGTGAAACCGACTATCTGCAATTAGCCAGCCACATTTATATGACCTGATTACGCCTCTCTGCCAACTTCCTTTAATCCGTCGGCGAATCTCCCCAAGCGAGATCTGGTAACGTCTCGCCAACCTTTCCTCTCCTTCTTCTTTTTCTTCTTCCTCTCCTCGATAACAAACGACCCCCGTCTTCCTTCCATCTCGCCTCCTTTACCTCCTTACCTCCCATCGTATTCTTCCATTTCTATTTCCAAATCGGCTCTTTCCTTCCTCCCTCCTTTTCTTCGCTCCAATATTTTTCTCCCGACACGCGAGATTATTTACGAAGCGAGGAAAGGGAGGGAATGGAGAACGAGGACACTTCATTAAGGTGTAGGATGATAACGAGGAGGATTTCGAGGAAGAACGCGTCGAATGCCCCGCTCCTGATTTTAGCGTTAAGGGTTTCGCTTACGCGGTTCGACGGGAACGTGCGAAGTCTCGAACGGAGATGAAGGAGGAGGAGGAGGAGGAGGAGGAGGCGGCGGAGATAGAGATGAAAACTCGTGGAATCGTGAAACGAGAGGAAGAGGAAGAGGAGTAGAAACGCGGGATGACGGAGGGTTCGGGTGTAGGTCCGCCGCCCCTGCTGCCTCGTTGGAGATGGAAGCAATAGGGATCAACTAGTATGCAAATCGCATGTAAATATCGTTCACTCTCCCGGTACCGAACCAGCTAAAGCCTCTCTCTCTCTCTCTCTCTCTCTCTCTCTCTCTCTCGATGTCTGTGTCTCTCCACGCTCTCTCTCCTTCCTCCCCACTCGACGTTTCGCTCTCTCGGTTGTCGAGTACCGAAGAGAAGAAATCAAAGCAGGGGACAAAGCAAGCGCAGACGAGATCGTGACGGAATTCTTTCTCGTTCTTCCGCTTACCCATTCCCTTCGGGCTGAGCTGGCAGCCACCACCCCTCCCCCTCCCTCCCCTCTCGAAAGTATTTGCTTTTCTCCATCTCGACCCTCCCCAACGATGCGTTTCACCCGAGTGGGTGTTACCGAGCTATGAGATCGTCGTCGTTAGTTCTTAATTAATTTATTTTTAAGCGGGGAACGTGTACTTTTCCGAATGGAAAAGGGAAAAGAAAGAAGAGAAGAGAAAGACTTGTCTTTTTCTTTTTTTTTTCACGAGTCGAAATTTCTTAATACTTCGCGCAATAATAAAAATTGAATTCTTTCTTGAATTACACGCGAATACACAGATGCGTCCTAGGTGTAGCTCGGCGAAGCATTAAAAAAAGAAAAAAAAAAAAAAGAAAAATCTTCACCGTAGAAAAGTTCTCACGTTTCAAGGTGAGTTTCCAAGAGAGTCTAACGGAATAATCGAGCGATATTGTGGGTAGCTTTCTCACTATTGCCAATCGTAAACGTGAGAGCCGTTCTCAGCAACTGTGACATAATGTCCTCTCGTTCGTCCTCTCGTGTCCCAAAGATTCTCCGTCGTTTTCGCGATGTCGTCGTTTCGCACGATCCGGTCCAAATAATAATTTTCAGACGTTTCTCGCAAAAATCGACGCTCGAACATTCGTCCCCGCAAGGCCACCATTCGTTCTATCTTCGAGAGAATTTAAAGAGTTTATTATAATCCCTAAAGGCGTGAAGAGAAGAGAAGCAGAGAGACGACGCTTTTCGAACGACAACAGCGTATAATCGGCCACAGGATAGGGCTTAACAGGGACGAGCATTAGTCGCGGAATTATATGACGACTTCTATCTTATTTAGGTCTGGTGGGGAGGGTGCGAGATCCCGTGGAAAGAGGGTGAGCAAGAGACGGAGTAAGACCTCTCTAACTCCAGGTATTTTCATCCTATATATATATATATATATATATATATATTCTTCGACCTCGGTGGTGCCGGGAGCAGGATTACTTGGAGAGACCCTGAGAACTTATTCTCTCCCTTTCTTACGCAACGCCTCTCGCCTCCTCCTCCAAA